GTAGACCAAGCTGGCCTCAGAGTCAAAGATCTGCCTGCCTCAGCCTCCTGAGTACTAGAACTAAAGTTGTGAGCCACCACTGCCCTCCAAGTACAGGGACTTTTCAACACAGGGTCTTATAGCCCAGGCTAGGATAAACATACAGTGTAGCCAAGGACTGTCCCGAACTCCTTCCTCACCCTTCCACATCCAAGTGTGAGCCACCAGTCCTGGCTAAGCCAACACCAGCCCCTATTCCTTTCCCAATAATCCCTCTTTCACCTCTGTTCTCTTCATACACTCACATCTGCATGATAAGGAACAGGAATTTAAGCACATGAAGTAAATCTAGGTCCTTTAATGAACCAAGGAAATCAGGAATAGAGCAGATCTGGAAAGGTATTAGCAAAAAAAAAAAAAAAAAAAAAAAAAAAAAAAAAGTGGTTCTTCCATTTAATCTTGAAAAAAAAAATACAGTTTTAAATTAAGATGGCCTGGGTTTGAATCTATGTTCTAGCATCAACTAGCTGTCAATGGGTTACTTAGCACAGTTAATATCAGTCTCCTGGGGTACTCACTGAAGATTATACCTGCTTAAAATGGGGGTGGGATAAAATGAACTGGCACATGTGAAACCCAAGGGACTGACAGATAACTCATGCTATTTCTCTTTCCTGCCCCTCCTCCCTCATCCCACCTTCTCCGTTATCTTTCCTTGCTAGCCCTCCCTTTCCCTACCTCCTCTCCACTCTTCCTATAGATTGGTGTTACCCAAAAGCGTCACAGACCTTCTGCTTACACAGAAACCACCAAACCTTCTGGGTTGACTTATGAAAACCACCTTCATGGAGATGCTGGTCCATGAAGAGCTTCTCTGGTGACTGGTAGCATCAGATTCCCTGGTTGTCCCTGTTGTGCTTAAATCATATGTCAGAGGAAAGTGCAATACAAGGTTGAAGCAGAAATCTTGTAAAACAAGTAAGTAAAAAAAAAAAAAAAAAAAAAAAAAAAAAAACATGGGGTCAGGGAGCCAGGCATGTTGGCATACACCACCATGTAACCCCACACTTGGGAGAATGGGACTGGAAGCTTTGAGGTTCAAGGGTAGCCTAGGCTACATACAGAGCAAGAGCCTGTATGAGAACAAGCAACAGCAACAAAATTGAGAACAACTTTATCCACAAACACCTAACATACAATAGAGCCAAAACAACCCTCTTAAACGTCTGATTCTACTGAATACTAGGATTATATGAAGGCCAGGGAAACACTCTACTAACTGACCTACATCCCTAGGCCATCTTTTTTTTTTTTTTTTTTTTTTTTTTTGGTGGGGGGCAAGGTCTCATGTAGCCCAAGCTGACCTCATAATATGACTGAGGCTAGCCTTAAACTCCTGATCTTCTTGCCTCCACCTCCTGAAATTAAGTGCCCTTTCACAAATCATTTCATGGTAACTCTTGGAATGTTTTCCTAGACTCAATAATTAAAATCTCAAACTTTTCAGGTCAAGAATTTCAGACGATGAGGATTTCATCTCTATGAAAATTGTTTGGCAAAAAAGGGGGGGGGTCAAGGAGAGATGGAGGAAGTTGGAATGAAAGCCTGCTTCGTTAAAGGACAGGACATACACTGCCTGCAGGGTCAAGGGGCAGCCTGTGGAGGTGCCCAACTGTCCCCAAGACTTGGGGGGGGTGGTTGGTGTTGTGGCTGATGGTGCTTCCTTTGGCCCACAGACACAGTATCAGCTATTCTCACCTCTGGGGATGTCCCATCTCCTAACCTCAACCACAGTTCACACTGCCTTCATATCCTACCTGCCCTGCCCCTGCTTATCTGTCTCCTGCCTTCCTTCCTGCAGGCAGCTAGAGCTCTGCCTGCTTGTCAAGGGCACCATCTAATCACAGTCATCCTTGTTCCCCATTATGGGTCTCTCCAGTCAGTGTGCTGGGGTGATTTCATGTCAGCTTGGCACAGGCTAAAGTCATCTGACAAGAGGGAACCTTAAACAAGAAAAAGCCCCCACCTATAAAACTGGGCTGTAGGCCAGCCCGTAAGTCATTTTCTTAATTAGTGATTGATGGAGGGAGGGAGGCTCAGACCATTGTGGGTGGTGGTGTCCCTGAGCTAGAATCCTGGGTTCTACAAGAAAGCAGGCTGAGCAAGCCATGGGGAGCAAGCCAGTAATCAGGGCCCTTCCATGGCCTCTGCCTCCAGGATCCCGGCCTGTTTGAGTTCCTGTCCAGACTTCCTTCAGTGATAAACTGTAGTACCATAGTGGAAGTGCAAGGCCAAATAAACCCTCCCCTCTCCAGCTTGCTTTTTTGGTCACGGTGTTTCAGTGAGGGAGACATTTAGGAAAAGCAACACACACCTTGACTTTGAATGTTTCAGATCTTGGTGCTGGCCACAGGGAAGCAGGTGTTGGTAAAACCACTAAAAGACAGCTTGTGAGAAGGAAATGAAGATTAATTCCTTCAGGGGTTAGCGGAGTGCACTATGCGCTGAACATGCGGAAATAGCGTTTTGAATGAACCCCAAGATGTATAATTCTTGTGTGGGAAGCACCGCTGGGACAGGTCATTGCATGGACTTCAGAGTCTTGCTGCCATCGTCTGAAGCTCGGCCCTACCAATACCTAGCTGGGGGCCTGGGCTTAGCCTCTCTATGCTTCGGTCTCTTCCTTCGTAAAATGCAGATGAAAATGCCCACCTTCTCTATCTCTGATGAGCATAAAACTCGCTTAAGACAGGTGAAGCGTTTAGCATATGGCAAACGCTATTAATAGTAAGGGTGGCTGAGGATTGTTCCCTAGAGTGGGTGTGCAAATGAGAGGAGAAGACCCTGTCTGTAATTCATTAATTCTGTCTGGGAAGACCCTGCCTGAGAAGGCTTGCACAAGGCTTTGCCATTGGCCTGCAGCCCAGCCGGGCAGTAGCCGTGGCGTGCAGACAAGGCGGGGCTGCGGGGCTGAGAACAGGGGCGGGCTGTGTCGCGGCGGTGTGGTGGCTCCCACCGCTGCGCGAGACGGTGTCCCTGGGTGTCACCAGGGCGCACACCGATAGGAACCTGCTTCCATGTGCGTGTCATGGATTAAAAATAGCTGCGATCCACCTGCACTCCGGGGCGGTGGCGTAGCGGCACGGTGCCGCGCGGGAGCCATGGGCGCCGGACTGCGGGAGCCTGCAGGCCACCTCGGGATCTGAGACCCTCGCGACTAGGAGGTAGAGACTAGTGAGCGAGGGGACAGGGGTCGGAACGGGACAGGAACATAGGGGCATTGCCACGCACCTCGCTGAGCCTCAGCGCCTGGCTGTCTGGGTAGTCACAGGGCTAAGGCGACAGCCAGGAACCTGTTACTACCAAGACAGCAGACAGAGGGAGGGGGAGGGGCAGGGGCCAGAGCCTCTGGCGGCGGGTTAATGGGATTGGAGAAGGCCCAGGGGTGTATTCCGGACTGAGCCAGGCTCCACCACGCCAGGAAGACCACGCCTGAGGACAGCTGCTCCCTGCTTCGGCTCTCCTTCCTGCTCCTTACCTTTCACCATCACCAAGGCAGCAGAATATATTCCGAGCAGGGTTGTTGGAGAGAAAGGATGGGTTTTTGAGCCTCAGGAGGAGGGGTAAGTGGTGGTGGTGGTGGTGGTGGTGGTGGTGGTGGTGATGTCAACTGTAGTCCTAAATTTTGGTGCTTCTTCTAACCCAGCCTTTGAACTCCTGAATATGGACTCATCCTTCACTAGGTGCAATCCACTGCCCTTGTTTGTGGTGTCTTCTGAGAGACTGGTGTCTTCCGATCCTAGGAGAAGAGAGAGCTAGGCCTGGCTAGGCGTGGGATGGGATCACTGTACAAATGGCCATGAGCCAAGATGGCTTTTTATTGCTGGACATTCAGTTGCGGTCCCTAAGGCAGACAGCAGCAAAGGGGATGGGAAGGAATTCTGCAGGTTAGCCCACCCTTGTAAAAACGCAGGGCCATATCTGGAAGTGAAGACAAGGGGGTCTTCCATAGTTGTCTGCCTGACCAAATGTCTTAGGGCAAGTCTCAGGGGCTCTCTTTCTCTCTACAGGTACTCTGAGACACACCTGCTAGGCCTCTCTTGACTCTCCCTGTTCCATATACTGTACAGGTTCAGTTGATGCCAACAGCAACAAAGATGACAATTCTGGACCTCTCAGCTGCCCTAGTGCCTGTGGGAGCTCTTAACCACCCCCACACCTCCCCTTGCGGCTCCCACTTCTGCCCCTCCCCCACCAGACACAGACACAAAGCTCCAACAACCCTGCTTTGACTCAGACTTCTCCCCTTAGGGATGACGTTTAGTCAAAGGAGAGCCTCACTCCTCCCACTCACAAGCTCACTTGCTCGTGTGCATCAGCTCTTACCTTCAGCAAACTCTCCTCTTTTTATCATTAACCCACTCTCACCCTCCCAATAGCCTCACCACAACCACCCGGACACCCCAGTGACTAGCTTATCTTGGGGACATACAGGGCAGGGATGGGTTAAGGAACTTCATCTCGCTGGCACCCAGGAGGCATGTTTGGCATATGCCATGGTCCCAGCTGCTGTTATCTTCCTGGTAATTCTCTCTGGATGGCTCCACAGCCGCTTCCATCCCCATCCTGGCTCCCCGGATGCTCTGTCTGTAACCCCAGCCAGATGAGATCCAGATTCGGGCTGGCAAGTGTTCCGGCAGTGTGTGTAGAAGCATCCAAGTGTCCAATGTACGTGTGTGCATTTGCGCGTTTGCTGGCAGTGGGGGTAGGGTGATGGAAGAGAAACAGCAGCTGGCCAACTCCTTCTTCCCGTAAACAAGGACATGTGACTCCCACCTCCTTGGGCGCCAGAGTCAGGGCTTAGTGGAGAGACTCACAGGCACAGCTCTTAGGCTAACCTTGCCTTCTGTTGCTTATGGACCTTCTCCCCAGGACCCACCATGCTGGGAGGAAAGGAAATGCTCTTCTGAACTCACTCAAATATGCGTGACACCCCTGTGCTTCCAGCGACAGCTATCTGGTGACTGAACCCATCATCCCTCAAGCCACCCTTCAGCAGCTACGGTTCCTGCCACCTCAAAGATGTGCCCCGGTAACTGGCTCTGGGCCTCCATGACTTTTATGGCCCGTTTCTCGCGCAGCAGCTCACGATCCCCTGTTCGTACTAGAGGGGGACTGGAGGAGATGCCCACCGCCCATCATCCCTTCCTCAACGTCTTTGAACTAGAGAGGCTTCTCTACACAGGCAAGACAGCCTGTAACCATGCCGACGAGGTCTGGCCAGGCCTCTACCTCGGAGACCAGTATGTAATGGATAGGGGTGGGGGGGCATGTCTGGGTATGTTCATGTGTGTCCAAGGAGAAAGGTGGCAGGCTATTCTGCCGATTCCAGGTTGAAGATTGAAGGGAACAGATCCATGAACAAAGAGTAAAAGTAAGAGGGTTTGAGGGATTCAGAAGGAATTAGTAAAATACTCAACTCTGGACAAAGAAACTCTTGAGGAAATTGTGGTACTCCGTTAAGCACATATGAAATGCCAACACTATAGGCTAGGCACATTGTTCTGACCTTCCAGCTATTGGGCCATGGCTTTGAGAAAAGGTAGTCACTAAGATAGGAACAGTAGGTCAAAAGCTGAAGGGGAGACCAAGCTAAGCCACCGAAGTCCAGAGTAATGAAGAAGACAGCCATCAAAGGGGGCTCATTCCCGAATATGTGATGTTTTGATTCTTGGTTTTGGCACAGCACTTTCTTAATCCTCACAGTAGCTCTGTGAAGTAAGGGGTCACTCTCCCTGGGTTACTGATGAGGAGAGGGGAGCTCAGCAACGTTGTGTTTGCACCAAGATCACACATCCTAGAAGCAGGAGTGCCAGCTGTCTGTGTATTGGGTTCAATGGTCTTTCAAGGTAGGGAATTTTCACTAGATGGTTTGTCTATGCTAGTATGACCATCCTGTCTGAGGGATTTCTACCACTAAGCTGCTAGGCTGTGGACCAGATAGATGTCTGAAGGTGACTATAGATCACAAATAAGATCCCTAGATTAAGTAGCAAACAGAAGAGGTTCCAGATGTTAAGGAGAATTTAAATAGCAGTAGAGGGTTGGGGACTGAATATTAGACCAATATAATCTGGAGATTATCAGGGATCTATTTATTAGTTAATGTATTTATTTGTGTGTTTTATGTATATGGTTGTTTTGCCTGCATATGTGTCTGTCTGAACCCCAGAAAAGGGCATTGTATCCCATGGAACTACATGTTATAGACATCTGTAAGCTGTCATGTGGAAGCTGGGAATTGAATATGGGACCTCTGGAAGAGCAATCAGTGCTCTTAACTACTGAGCCATCTCTCCAGCCCCCACATTCATTTATTTGTTCTCAGAACCAAATCCAGAGTACTGCGCAAACTAAGCACACACCCTACCATGAAATTACATCCATAGTTCTAGCAAAAACCTGAAATAGGAGCTGGTCCCACATCTCTCCTGATGGACACAACCCTCCACAGTTCCCGGGCTGCCCACTGAGGATCTCTCTCTCTCTCTCTCTCTCTCTCTCTCTCTCTCTCTCTCTCTCTCTCTCTCTCCGTCTGTCTCTCTCTCTCTACCTGGACACGTGGTGTCAAGAAAATAACTTCTTTGAAGTGTTCTAACCTCTCCCCAGCTAGCGGTCTCTCTCAATGTACACTTTCCTCGTGTGAAACCAAGATTGGTTTTGCAGATCTTGAATTCTTTCGTCCTAGTTCTGCCCTTTAGAGCCACACAGATCAAGGAAAATTCCACTTCCTCAGAGCACTCCCAATATTTGATTACAGTCATCTTAACCCCATGCCTTCAGAGTTCTCTTCCCTAGTGCAACCATTTCCAGACCTCTCAAACACTGCTCACAAGATGAGACCCCCCAACTCTGCCGTCTTCCTGTGTCCTAGGCCATTAGTAAATACAGTGGATGTACATAGCCAACAACAAGCATCTAGGATGAAGTTTCCTGGCATCTTGGCATATCTATTCACTTCTAACTTCTATTTAACACAGGGACATGGCCAACAACCGCCGTGAGCTTCGTCGTCTGGGCATCACCCATGTCCTCAATGCCTCACACAGCAGGTGGAGGGGCACCCCTGAGGCCTATGAGGGACTAGGCATCCGCTACCTGGGTGTCGAGGCCCATGACTCACCCGCCTTTGACATGAGCATCCACTTTCAGACAGCTGCGGACTTCATCCATCGGGCACTGAGCCAGCCAGGAGGTAGAAGAGAAAGCAGAAAGGGAGATGGGGGGGGGGGAGGGGGGTTGACAATGGGTGTGGCATTCAGGAGTCACAGGATTCAACAATGGAGCAAAGGCTTAGCAGTAAGACAAACTGCTTTGGAACTAAGGAACTAATTTAGGTGCTAAGGAAAGAAAAATGTTTTCACAATCATCTTTTTCAAGGTAGTACTTTGAAAGGTGATGGGGGCATCATTTAAAATGAAAAGCTACTCCTAGATACTGAAGTTATGAATATCATAGCTTTTATGTTTTTAAACTTATTTCCATACGCACCTGTCCCTAAAAAACATAAAATATGGTTTTAAAATACTTAGTTATCGGGAAAAAAGTGCAGTTGGCCCTCAGTATTGTTGAGTTCTGCATCTTTGGATTCAACCAACCACAGATTGAAAATATCTGGGGGGGGGGGGGTGGAAGTATTATTTCAAGGACAATATTATTGTCACAAGTATTTACAGAGAATTTACCTTGTACTAGTGAACATAAATAATCAGGGGCTGATCAAAGGTGCACGAGCGTGTATGGAGGTTTTATGCAAATGTTTATCATTTTATATGTGGGAACTGAGCATCCACTGGTATTGGGAATGGGGAGATTTTCTGGAAATCAACCCACACCAAATATCAAGAAACAACAACATATGTAGATAAAGATACAGTCAGTGGTTGAGAGAAACAGCAAGAGAGAAGGAAGCGGAAGTAGGGTGTGCCCATAGTCCCAACTACTCCAGAGGCTAAAACAGGAGCCCCGTTTGAATGAAAGCTTGAGCTTAGCCTGGGCAACATAGCAACACCCAGTCTCAAATACCAAAATTTCAAGCGTCAAAGGAGTTAGGGAGGAACTGGGGGGTGGGGGATGACTCTGGTGGTAAAGAACACATCATATGCGCGCACTGTCTCCTAGCACTGGGAAGGCAAAGCTTTGGATGCTCGTTGGGATGCACCTGTCTAGCCTATTCTGCAAACTCCAGATTCAATGAGAGAGGCTATGTCAAAAATAAATAAATAGATGGAGAACAGCCAAGCACCCAACATTGACTTCTGACCTCCACAAGCACACATACCCTCCACAAACACATACACATGCATCCACCATACACTGGTACACAAAAGGAAGGAAGGGTTAGGGAAGACCTAAGACAGGCCAGATTCAACATGGAAGGATTCATGCACTCAGCCAGTGTCAGCGCAGTCCCTGTTCAAAGCTCAGATTAACAATAGAACTGAGACTGTACCCTTCAGCTCCACTCAGGTTCATGAGCACCAAGCTTCAGAATTCCTGCTCCATTTTATTTTGCCCAGTCCTCACCCCTTTACCAGGGACCTTCATTATTTATTGTTTGTTTGAAATACTCAGAAATGAACCCTAGGTCTTTCTCATGCTAAGCACAATCACTGTAGGTGTGTATCTGTCTGTGTGTGTGTGTGTGTGTGTGCGTGTGGTATGTGCACACATGTGTCACTGATGGATCTGTGGAAATGAGGGAACGATGTTGTAGAGTCAGGTCTCTCTGACCTTTACATGAGTTCTGAGGATGGACCTCAAGTCATCGGGCTTGTGTGGAAAATCCCTTTGCACACTGAGCCATCTCACCAACCTAGGATCTGCATTCTAAACACCACTCATCCTTACCCATTTGCTCATTCCTGCCTCTGTGTGCCTTTGTTTACCTTGGTCTATTCACTTGGCTCTGCTGATCTTTTCCCAAGCCTCCTCCAGGCCGTTGATTGGCAGTCTGTCAGATGTCTCTTTGTCTGCCTCTTCACAGGGAAGATCCTGGTTCACTGTGCTGTGGGAGTGAGCAGATCAGCCACCCTGGTTCTGGCCTACCTCATGCTATACCACCGCTTCACCCTTGTGGAGGCCATCAAAAAAGTCAAGGATCACCGTGGCATCATCCCTAACAGGGGCTTCTTGAGGCAGCTCCTAGCCCTGGACCGGAGGCTGCGGCAGGGTCTGGAGGCATGAGGGAAGGGAAATCAGGCCAGGTTCCTGGGTAGTTTCCTGGCTCCCAGATGGGAAGAGGAGACCCAGGAGGCAGGTAGGAGAAAGGCCATACAACCCATCCTCCCTCAGTGGCAGGAGCGGGAAGGGCCCCTAGGCCACTGTGACTCTTTGTGGAAGGGGATGGAGAGCTAGGTTGGGCAGTGTGATAGGTGGGGGCTGCTGACAGCTGGGGCTGTAAGATGGTTCTATGATGAGGACAGCACCAGATTCCAGCAGGGTGTGCAATGACTCAGAATCCCTTCCCCTCATTGTGTTCACAAGTTCCCCTCTCTCACTTTCCAAACAAAAGGACCACTGCTGTGCAGGACCTGAGCAGTGCTGGGAGGGGGTCGGATGCCAGGGATGCAGCAGCAGGACTGTGAAGGAAGGTTACAGGGTGCATAAAACAGGAGAGAAAGAGTTGGTGATGGAGTGGTGTGAGAGCCACAAAGCCAGAGGAAGAAACCCACAGGTGTGCAACTCCGGGAAGAGGTGTGGGAGGACTGGCATGGCACCCCAAGGGAGCTGCTCAGGGACAAAGGACCGACTGGTGAAAGACACCAGTGTCTCTAGGTGGTCATATTCTCACTGAAAACCATGCATCTGGAGCAAAAAAAATAAAGTTGTGAAAAAGAGGAGAGTGTCTTTGCATCATTAACAGTTTGACTCCCTAGACTCGCCCAGCTCACTAACCAACCAATTCTTACATAGATAGCACTTTGAAATATTGAGCTGTTATTCCTAACTTGTCCACAAGGAGACAGCAGAGGACAAAAAAACCTGTGTTCTGTAGCCACTTAGTGATACTGCCCAGAAGAGACATCTTACATCTTCCCAGGATAGGGTCCTCTGTCCCCTCAGGCTGATGAGACAACAGAATATTAATCTTAAATCAAGATCAGCCCCAAGTGTCCTGCTTTGGGTGCCAAGGTATTGATTAAAGTACTGTTGTTTTCTCTTCTAATCCTTCCAGGTTTCCCTCAGAGGAATGTAACCTTAGTAAGCTTCATAAAAAGGTTAGACAACCAGGAAGAACAGGATGTTATCTCAACTGCCAGAATGCCACCACAACTCTTGCCAAAAAAAAAAAAAAAAAAATGTGTGCTCAGTATCTGTCAGAATGGGGAAAGAGAATAGAAAGAAATGCAAGTGAAAAATACAGGGGAAAATAATGAGCCAGCAAGCTAGCTCAGCAGCCAGTAAAGGCACATAGCACCAAGCTTGATGAGCTCAGTTTGATCCTGGGACCCACATAACGGCGGGAAAAAACACAAGTCCCACAAGCTGTCCTCTGACATTCATGTGCACGCTATAGCATGCATGTGCGCGCGCGCGCACACACACACACACACACACACACACACACACACACACACATATACGTCCTAAAAATTTTCACTTACATATCAAGTGTATATCCCACTAAGAGCATAGAATTCTAAGGTTGGAAGGCGCCCCAACAGATTCTGTAAGTTTATGTACTGAACTTTATTTTATGTGCATTGATATGAAGTTGTCAGTCCCCTGGAACTGAAGTTACAGACAGCCATGAGCCACCATGTGGGTGGGTGCTGGGAATTGAACCCAGTCCCTCTGAAAGAGCAGTTGGTGTTCTTAACTAGTGAGCCAGCACCCTACTCAAAGGTTCTACTCACCTTTTCCATACTTGAATATCTCTGCTGACTGGAAACCATGTCCCTCCATTTCAGCATCTCTAAGTTCTGTTTGCCCGAAGTAGTTCTGGCTACTTCTGTGGGATTATTGTAGTCATTTAACAGTTAAGACTTGAGCTTGGCATCTAGGAAGCTGTGAGGTCTGTCGCCGTCTGTTACTCACACTTACCCCAACTCTTGAGGTATAGCGGGAGCTCTCTGATTTCAATCTAATTCTCCCCTGACCCTGTTCTTTCATACCAAGAGCTGTTTGTTCTTGGCTGTCAGCATCTGTCATGTTCCCACTCACCCTACCAGCCTTGCCGATATTGGCATCTCTCCCTTCTTATAGGAAGCAGAATTCTCATCTCAGAATTTACAGACTCTGAACCTCCAGGGAGTCCTGTGAGATGGGGAGAAAATCAGGCTAATCATCTGAGGACACATTTGTCAGAGGAACAGAGAAGTCTTCATAAGCAGTGCTGGCTCTAATCAAAATAAGTTGGTTCCCTTATAGAGCCATGTGCCAAAGCCAGGTGTGGTGGCTCACATGTATAATTCCAGCACTCTGGACATGGAGATGGCATTGAAGAACCCCCTGCAAGCCTTGTAACATAGAACTCACCGCAATCAATAAAGAAAACTATGTGTCAAAAGAAATATAAGCCAAATGTGGTGATGCACTCAGCACTCAGGAGGCAGAGGCAGGTGGATCTCTGTGAGTTTGAGGCCAGCCTGGTCTAGAGTGAGTTTTAGGACATCTAGGGCTACACAGAGAAACCCTGTCTTTAGAAAACAAAAACATGTAGGGCAACACAGGGAAACTCTGTTTTGGAAGAAAAAACATTTCAATTACAAAAAGAATTAAATATACTTAAAAAGGAATCTGGGGATGGGAATATGCCAATGGTAGAACACTTGGGTAAATTTTTATTTCCAAGAGGGCCTGTATTCAATCCCCAACACCACAAATGATGATGATGATTGTGACAGACAATGATGACTGAAAAGTAAGTGAAGCTCATAGAAGGACTCACTATAACTACGACTCCGGCGGTATAGCATGTGTGTTACTGGTAACAAGCCCCAGTGGCTACTACCATGTTTGTTCAGTCCAGGTCGGGGCCTAGATTTTTTCTTTTCATGATGAATAACTTGAGAATTTGACTCTAACTTCTCAAAGAAAAGCATCTAGAGTATACATGAGTAGAGAACGGGGTAGGTTATATATTGTCATTAGTTAATGACCTAGCTTTATTTCTCTTGCTGTGATAAAATGTCTTGACAAAGGACAGCTTAGGGGAGAAAGTACTTATTTGGCTTAACCATTCCAGCTCACAGCCTTTGATTCCCTGGGAGTCAAGGCAGGAGCTTGAAGCATCATGTCCTTAGTCAAGAGTAGAGAGAGAATAAACACATAGGTCCTTATTTGTTTGCTCTAGGACTCAGCCCAAACTTTCTCTATCTTCCAAGGTTCAAAGCCCAGCACAAGGAATACCACCTTTCATAACGGGCTGGGTCTCCCTATCAAACAAAGGCAACCACCTGCTATTTTTGATGTGTCCATAGGCCAATCTGATCTAAATGCTTCCTCATTAGACTCTTTTGAGCTAAGTCTGGGTATGTCAAATTGAAAACTGACTAATGCAGTGCTGGGAAGTAGGCTCAGCAGTTAAAATCATGTATTGTTCTTGCACACAACTTGGATTTGATTCCCAGCACCCACAACAGGTAGTTGACAATTGTGTGTAACTCTAGCTCCAAGGGGCCCATATCACTCTTAACCTTCTCCAGCATGTCTGTAAACACACACAGACACACATGCACCCACAAACAAATATTTTTTAAGAAATCTAACCAGTATAGTTATCAAAGCCACGTGAGGGCCATACAGAAGCATAAGTCTGTGTTTATGGATACTAACCCTTGTGAAGTAAGTATAAGCGCCATTGTATAGTAACAGGGAGGCCAAAGTTAACTAGCCTTCCCAGGGTCCTGCAAATAGAAAAATGGAAGAACTATCATTTAAACCTGGGCTCTCTGGTTCTACTACCGCTATGCTTGGCCTTCAGTTTCTGTCCTACACACATACCCTCACCCTCACCCCCACCCCCCACTCCCCACCCCCCTCCACCCCCAGCACTCCTGCCGCGCACATGTATGTGTATGTGTTTTTTTTTGAGGTGTAGGAAGAGGAATTGCTGCTGAAAAACTGCCCCAGTGTTTAAGAACCAGCAGCCTGCTCTTACTGACTTGGCTGTACGTCTGAAGTAGCTGTTAGTCAAGGATCTCCCTGGCTTTTTTTTTTAAAGATTAAACCTCCCCCCAAAAGACCGATCTGACTCAAAGGGAACAGGAGGGGCCATAGCCTCATCATAGCACAGTTCCGTCCTCCAAGCCAGTCATGTAACCCTTGTCATAAGTGATCTGGCTCCAACCTACAAAAACAGGTTCAGTCTCCAATGTCCTCCATCCTCTCCTTGAGCAGCTGCCCATTTGAACCCCCGGGGGGGGGGATGTGTTAAATATAGCAGGCTATGCCTCCAACCAACTGAGCCACAGCCCTCTGGAACCGTCTGTAACTGGTTCCAGTCTGTCTAGTCATTGAGCTCTTTCCCTTGTCTCCAGCCTCCTCCTCTGCACTGTTGACTCAAGCCTTGAAGCAGGCCTAGGAGACCTGGCTGCCTCTGGGGAAAAGGAGGGATGCTTGTCCAATTCTTCACCCCTGTAACTAGCCCCAGCTGGGAGGTGCCCCAAAAGTACAGCTCAGAGCAAACTGCTGTTTGTGAACCCAAGGAGACAGGTGCATCTGGAACAAGACAGGTAGCTACCTTAGAATTATGCTGGCCCCCAGAGGGCTGCACATTGCTGTACCCTGGGGCCCCTGCTGGAAACAGAGCCCTTGAGATCTGTCAGACATGGGACTCATGCCAGTGTGTGATGGTTTCTCCATCGAGATGGTGATAGCACTACAGCATTGATTGGAAACCAATAGGAACATGGAAGACAGTGGTGCTGAGAATGATTTGAATTGTAGGGGGCTGGCTCAAGGAATTTCAGAAGAGAAGAATTCTAATATGTGGCCTAGAGACCATTCTTGTGATATTTTGTTAAAGACGTGGCTGCCTTTTGTCCTTGTCTGAATAGCCTGCCTGAGACTAAAGTGAAGAGTTTTGGATTAATTCTATTAGCAAAGGAAATCTCAAATTAGCCTAGTATAGGCTCTGTCATGTGGTTATTAGTGGTAACTCTCAGGAAGATTTGCAATGAAAAGAAACAAGCTGAGCAGAGCAAATTACAAAATGTAAATTTTGAGGAGAAGAACAGCACAAGGATGTGGAATGGAGTTAAGTCCTGTGCTCAAGGAGATAAGTGGGTTAAGAAATGAAGTAAAGGAAGTGATGGCCTCAGGGAGGGACTCTACCCAGCTAAATTGAAAAATTTTGGAAAGAAACTAAAGAAAAGACTAGAGCTGGGTGTGGTGGGACACACCTTTAATCCCAACACTGGGAAAGCAGAAGCTGGCAGATCTCTGAGTCTGAGGCCAGCCTGGTGTAAAAATCCATTTCAGGACAGCCAGGCTTCACAGCAGTGAAGGACAGAAAGCTGTAATTGGACAAGGGGGCCATTTTCCAGCCCCATCAAGCAGCAAAACTTGGCAGCTTCTGCACCCATGTGGTTCTGGTTTTTAGAGTTAAGGATAGAAGAAGCAGGTTATGGAATTTGCTCCCAAGATTAACAACAGCCACCCAACCCATGTATGTGTCAGGGTGTCCTGGAATGGCGGCCTAGATAGGTCATTGACTGAAGCTGTGAAGGTGAAGCCTGAATTGCCCTGGAGAACCAAAGACGTTGGAGATACTAAAGCCATGGGATACCTGCTAAGGAGAGCTGCTAATGGAGTAGAACCAGCCCAAGAGAAAAGAATGGGTTGCAGTCAACAAACTGAAAGCTGTTGGGAGATCTGAAGAGCATTTTGACATCAGACATGGAGATGCAGTGTTTGGAGTTTGCCCTGCTGGATTTTGGTCTTACATGGTCCAATATTTCCTTACTATGCTTCCTTCTCTACATTTTGGAATGGTAATGTATATCTGTACCATTATATGTTGGAAGTATGTGATCTGTTTTTTATTTTGATTTTATAGGGGATGGACTGCATTGTTTTGTGTGTCAACTTGACCCAATCTAGAGTCATCAGAGGAAGGAGCCTCAGCTGAGGAAACACCTCCATGAGATCCAGCTGTAAGGCCTTTTCTCATCTAGTGATCGATGGGCAAGGGCCCAGTCCATAGTGGGTGGTGCCAACACTGGGCTGCTGGTCCTGGCTTCTATAAGAAATCAGGATGAACAAGCTATGGGAAGCAAGCCAGTAAACAGCACAGCACAGTACATGGCCTCTGCATTAGCTCCTGCCTCCAGGATCCTGACATATTTGAGTTCCTGTCCTGACTTCCTTCAGTGATGAATAGCAATACTGAAGTATAAGCCAGATAAACCCTTTCCTCCCCAACTTGCCTTTTGGTCATAGTATTTTGTTGTAGCAAAAGAAACCCTAACTAAGACAGAGTATTACAGCTAAAAGATTTCATGAATCTCAGAAGAGACTTGGAATTATAGACCTCTTTTTTTTTTTTTTTTTTTTTTTTTTTAACTAGGCAAAGAATTTTATTAACCCCTTTCCAAACTTTATTCCCAGGCTTCTTCAGCTTAAATTGCTGTAAAGAATGAATTGTGTTTAAGCAAAAACTGAAAAGAGCTGCAGTGTCCAGGGGCTTAAAAATATTAGAGATCTAGATTTTATCAGATCCATAAACAAAAGAATTTTAAAAAGCAGTCATGATATAAGATAGCAGCTCCTGTGACTTCTGCAAGTGTCACCTTCTTCAGAAGTCGCCTCAACTCAGTTTGCCTCGTTCTTAGAAGCCTCATCAAAATTCTCCACCAGATCAGGGACTTCATCATCATCCTCTCCAGTAGCCAGTGGTGCTTTTCCATCCACAGATTGTTTGGGCAGAGCTTCAGCCAGTCTCCTTAAACTAGTCAGACTATCTGCTCCAAGCTGGTTTAGGATGCTGGGAAGCATTTCTGTCAGCTGCTTTGTCTCAGCGTGGCCTGTAATGGTGAAGGTGTTTGCTGCCAGAGACGCCTGAACTTTAGGGTTGTTAAAATGGATCACTGTTCCTTGGTTTGTAAACATGTTCACCTCTTCAATACCAGAGATAATGTTCACCCCTAACTTCTTTAAGGAGAACTGCAGTTTTTTGTCGTCTGCTGTGGCTGTTCTGTGGACCACCTTCTTCTTTCTGCGAGCAGTTCCTTTGCCACCAATGCGCATTTGTGCCTGCAGCTTGGCCAATTTCTCCTGGTTCACGATCGTTTCTTTCATCTTGTCGGAGTGGAAATGGGGCCGCGCGGGGGACTAGGGTTCGCGCTCAGGGGGTCTCAGGCAGACCGGCTGAGATGGAATTACAGACTTTTAAACACTGGGGAGACTGGGATAGACTGTGGGGGACTTTTAAAGTTGGACTAAACGTATTTTGTATTATGATATTGTTACAAGCTTACGGGGAGCCAGGGAGCAGAATGTAGTAGTTTGAATGTAATTAATCCCCATAAACTCATAGGGAGTGACAATATTAGGAGGTGTCACCTTGGAGTAGGTATGGCCTTGTGGGAGGAAGTGTGTCACTGTGCGGGGTGGGCTCTGATGTCTCATATATGCTCAAGTCATACCCAGTGTGACAGTCCACTTCTTGTTGTCAAGATGTAGCCAGCACCATGTATGTCTCCCTGCACGCTGCCATGCTCCCAGCCATGATGATACTGGACTGAACCTCTGAACTGTAAACTACCACCTCAGTTAAATGTTTTCCTTTACAAGAGTTGCTGTGGTCATGATGTCTCTTAACGGCAACAGAAATTCTAAGACAGAGACAAAACACAAGGACGTGAATGTGAGAAAGGGATTTTAAAGAGGGATGGGAATTTCAGTAACGAAAATGTATTATACACACATATATGAAAGTATCAGAGAAGAAAACTAATAAGCATTATATATATGTAAAAGAAAAAGTTAGGTAGGTGTGGTGGTGAATGTGTGTAATCCCAGTGTTTAGGAAGGTTGAGGAAGAAAGATCTTGAGATAAAGGCAGCTTGTGCTATACAGAGAGATTTAGTCTTAAAGACAGAAAACAGGGGCTGGAGACATGGTTCAGCAGGGAAAGAGCACTTGTTGCTCTTGAAGATGACCTGGATTCCATTCCCAGGACCCACACATCAGTTTCCTACCATCTGTAACTCCAGTTCCAGGGCATCTAATGTCCTTTTCTAACCTCCTGGGTACCAGGCACACACAGTGCACAGAACATGCAACAATAATTAAAATAAACAGGAATGATCTCTGCCGTGTTCATGAGTGGAAAGAGGTGGAGATACAGAAGTATAGGACAAGAATTCACCTGACAATGACAGGGGGAGCTAGGAACTGGAGATTGCGCACACAGCCCAAATGACTAGGTGTTTTATTCACCATTTTATGCTTCAGTAACTCTAAAACTTCCTAACATTCAGGCTTCTAGTTTGTGTTAAACTGTTGAAGATAAGCCCACCTTTGCACATGACAGCTTTGTGGGGCACAGTTGTCCCTTTGAAAGAGCTGAGAATTCCTGTTCTCCTGCTACACTCATCCCTTTCCAGTTTTCTGACACTAGACTTGCTTTACTCCTTCAGATCATGTCCCTGCCTCATACTTTAATCCCAGCATTCCAGAGGCAGGCAGATCTCTGTGAGTTGGAGACCAACTTGGTCTACATAGTGAGTTCTAGGCCAGTCGGGCTACAAAGTGAGACCCCCCATCTCAAAAACCAACAAAACGGGTTTTAAACCAGGTGACCTGATGTGCACCTTTAAACCCAGGAGACTAGGAAGCAGAAGCAAGAGGATCTCTATGTATTCAAGACCAGTATGGTCAACTTAGTTAACTTGTTCCAGGGTTAGGGTTAGGGTTAGGGCTCAGGTTAGGGTTAGGGTCCAGGACAGCCAGGGCTATGCAGAAACCACATAAAAGATAAATTGCCTGCAGCCTCTGGGAAAAACCACCTACACTATGTCCAATATCTCACCCAGAAATACGAAATCCCTGAACCCTTGCTCCTAAGACGTACCTATTAGCCGGCCTTTACAGATTTTCTCCTAATTCCTGTCTACTCTTGCCAGGTTTTGCTTATGGGCAGTGGCTTGGAGCTTTCTATATAGCCTGGGATTTCCCCCACTGATTTTACAGACAAATCTCCAAGCAAAAGCACTGGGAGCCAACTGGGAGAAGGTAGCTAACACTATGCGGTTCTCCAGCAGAAAGCTTGGAGAGGAGCCCAGCCCCTGTCCCAGAAAAGTAGGGAGTGTTTCTCAGCTCACAGGCCAACTTCTGGTGTTTTGTAGACAGCAAGACATGAGCCACCACCCTACCCAGGCAACTTTCCCTGATCAGTCTGTTGTTAACAGACACAGGGATTAAGTCCAGCCCCTCCTCCCTTACAGAGTTTACTCATAAACTGGGTCAAAGCTCAGCGAGGCAGTAGTCTCAGCCCATTACCTTGAAAGAGTCTGAACTCATAATCCAAGATGAAACCAATGACCAATCCTATCCCAAGATGAGACCAATGACCAAGAATTACATCTTGAGGGTAAATAAAAAATATTAACCTGGAGACAGAGCAGAGTCTGCTCTGAGAATGTCTAAGTCCAGGCCAGGAGGGTCCTCCCAGAGGCCCAAGGACACTGACCCCTCACAAGGCTCCATGCCAGTCCCATGCATCCGGACCCCTACACCAGGGAGAGAAGGGGCCCTCACTTTATTAGAATTAAGAAGAGGCATGTCCCAAGATTTGTCACCTAAGGAGTAAGAGGAAGTGAAGCCAAGCTGGACACTCAGCTGGGGTTCATTCCATTTTCTTTTGGTAACACCTGCCTGGTACAAAAGTCTCTCTGCTAGCGGGGCATTGGTGGCACATGCCTTTAATCCCAGCATTCAGGAGGCAAAGGCAGGTAGGCAGGTGGGTCTCTGTGAATTCGAGGCCAGCCTAGTCTACAGAGCAAGTTTCAGGACAGGCTCCAAAACAATACAGAGAAACCCTGTCTCCCCTGTCTCCCCTGTCTCGAAAAACAAAAAAGCAAAAAGCAAAAAAAAAAAAAGAAAAGAAAAGAAAAAAAAAAAAAAAAAGAAAGAAAGAAAAGAAAAAAAAAAAAAAGAAAAGAAAAAGAAAAGTCTCCCTGCTGCCAAGCCAAAAGAGGTTTGGTAGGTTCACCCAGGTGAATAATCATAGTCTCAAAAATGTCACAGCTGGAAGGAAGCCATGAGAATGTCAAGGTCAGTGACTCTCTACCCTTTCTTCTTCCTTTTTTTTTTTTTCTTTCTTTTTCAGGTTTGTGCAGGAGACTAACAGCTTTATTAAGGATTCCACCAAAACTTTGGCAAACGTTTTAAAAACATATTTGTAAACATTATGCTTGTCTTCTCAGCTGGCAGTGCTTAAAAAAGATAATCCAGGGAAAACAACCATCTGGAACCAACATTATTAGTTCAAGATCCTTGTATATATCAGACCACAAAATGTATAAAATGTATGCTCCCACATGTGAGAGACTCCTAACACAAGTGAGAGACTCCTAGTCAGCATCAACAGATAAACGCCGTGGCAGGAAGTTTATGCTGGTGGATGAGTTAAGGTATGTTGTGGTTAAATACGTCTGTTCTTTTTCAAGACATTTTTATTGTTTTGATTTGTGTGTGTGTGTGTGTGTGTGTGTGTGTGTGTAAACATATATCCATGTGTACCTGGGGAGGACAGACAAAGGCTCCATATACCCTGGAGCTGGAGTTATAGGAGGTTGTGAGCACTTGATGGGAATGCTGGGAACCGAACTTGGATCCTGTAACAAAGCAGCAAAAGCTATTGATGCTGTGCAGTCTCTCTCAACCTGATGTCTGTTCCTTTTTTCCTTCACGGCACCCAGGATTCAGAAGAAAGCAATATTTAAGCATATACGTCATGTAGACATTAGCTTCTTGTTTATTTATACATATCTGTATTTTTTTGAAGAGAGATGTTTAATCAATGATTTTGTTATCATTTGTTGAGTTAAGGATAGAAGCCAGGAACTTTCACATGGAAAGCAAGTGTGTTCCCAGGAAGCTGTATGCTCCCAACCCTGAGCCCTGGTATTTCAAAAGAACAGATAAGGGAGCCCACTTTGATTTAGATTTAGAGAAACAGTTCTGTTTTTGTCTTATACACACATTTTTTTTTTCTTGAGACAGGGTTTCTCTGTGTTGCTTTGGATCCTGTCCTAGAACTCACTCTGTAGACCAGCAGGCTGGCCTTGAACTCACAGAGATCTGTCTGACTCTGCCTCCCTAGTGCTGGGAATAAAGGTGTGGGCCATCAATTCCTGGCTATCCACACAGGTTTTATTTCAGTCTTTTATTACAAGAGATTGAAAATTCATGTGTGCTAAGGACATACACTACCCATGAAGCATATCAGCCATTTATCTTCAAATATAAGATTGTGTGCTAAAGAAAAACTTGTAAACTACTAGAGTCATATCCAACCCTTCACTTTAGAAACAAGAGAAATGAGTGACTAGAAGGCAAAGAGATATTATATAGAAGCCAGATACAGGGCAACCAGATGACATGGTGGGCAGAGTCCCTTACACATGGACCTGACAATCTTAGGTCAGTCCTAGAATTCAACAGAGAACCAACTCCTAAGATTTATTCTTGTGCTTTGTCTTCTACATATATACTGTGGCACATTGTGTGCCTGCACTTACACACACACACACACACACACACACACACACACACACACACGTTAAAAGTGTTATTCCAATGCTTGGGAAGGCAAGAGGATCAGGAGTTCAAGGCCATTCTTGGCTATATAATGAGTTCTAAGTCATACTGATCTATATGAAGCTTTGTCAATAAGGTCAGGATAAAGAAAGGTAGGGAGCGAAAGTGGGAGGGACAGAAGGAAGAGAGGAGGAAGGGCTCAGGTGGGAGTGTTGTCAGGTCATCACTAGCATCTATCACCCTTCATCTTCTCACACTAATGAAATGGTCCTGAGCTTAAACCACATACATCATTGCGCAGCTACAGTTTATGTTCTGTATAATTTTGCAGAGAAGTGTAACCATGAGACAAAGTTCTCAACAGCAAAAGGAGAATGGAAACAGGGCTCTGTTTCCTAGAAGGAAATGGCTGTACTTTCCTTCTTGGGTTCCTTTCCCTTGGGCAGTATCACAGGACACATGACTGGCAAGGATCTATTGCAACAAACTAACAAAAGCCATCTATTGCAAGAAAGAGGGAAATGACTGAGGGCGCAGCCAAGGGACGTGGGATCAGCTTTGTTGGAGAAACAGATCCCACTAATCAGGAAGCAGATGCAGGAA